TTTTTTTCAATTCATCCTGTGGCATTAAAATGCCAAAGTTATTTTCAATGTCTGGCTTACTCTGTCAAATCAAGTACTATGGAATGACCTTCACAATCCTCCCAACATGAGTCATTTCAGTTACCTGCATGATAGAGGTGTAATATCTTAAGTGCAACGGCATTCTATGCTCTTAATATTCAGCAGTACAAAGCAGAATTATTTCTTTTCTGCTCAGGCATGGTCAAGGAACGTACATCTACAAAGAAAGTGGATCTAAATATGTTGGTGGTTGGACAAATGGAAACCAGGGAGGAGCAGCTGAACTTATCCACCTAAACCACCGTTTTCAGGGCATGTTTTTGCATGGATATGTAAGTGTGCTGGAAAATTCTATATTCATATGAACAATTATCATATAATTGCCTTAAAAGTGATCTCTCTCTGTTTAACATAAGAAGCAAGGCTTCCCATCTTTAGGACCTTTTCTTAAACATTAAATCTAACAGATGAAACAATCTGCAGGACAGAACACAAAGGTTTTCAGCAATCCTGCTTTCAAACAGTACTGTTACTATTGTATGAATTTCACAGTAAAGCATATTTTATGTCTATGTGTTCAGAATGTACTAACTATAGTTTCATTACTTTGTTTCTCTGTGTAGCCTATAGGTCATGGTAAATATGTCTTTGACAGTGGATGTGAGCAGCGTGGTGAATACATACACCCAGAGCCGGTAAAAGAAACAGTGCAAACTATACTGAACATTAAAGAATGTTAAATTAAATCTCCTATCAAGTAATCTATAAAATGCCTTATAAATACTGAGTTAAAGTAAATCTAACCAGGAGGGACTAATAGGATAGAAGTTCCTCCAATAGGCCCCTCACAGCCACTCTGTTTAACAGATAAACAAAATTTTACCTTTAAGACAGAAAGCTGAAAGACATTAGTCATTCGTAGTATTCAGCCAGTTTTGGGGTTCTAAAGCACAGTTCTTCTTTTCCAAGATTTGCAGCTGCTGAAGTTCCTTCACTTGGCAGTGCTTTAAAAGGCTGTATCATTACTATTTTGGACCTGAGTAGAGAGATTTTAGTACACAGAAACATCATCTTAGCTACTCCCTTACTACCTGTTGGATGTGATTCTGAACTTTTTGAGTTGCCTTCTAGGCTAAAGAGGGAGAAGAAGAGGAGGAGGAACACACATTACTCGTTCCACCCAAATGGAAAGCAACAGATATTACCAAAGTAACACTCTGGACACCCACTGAGGAACAACCGGCTTCTGCCACGGAAACCTCACAAGCAGCAGCACCGGCAGAAGAAGGAACAGCAGAAGGAGCAGCAGCAGTAGAGGAAGAAATGCCATCAAGTGCAGGTTTGCTCTGATGGACATCTGGAAATATACTTCAAACATTCTTCAAATATCACTTGAATCCATGTTACTCAGTCTTAATTTCTGGTGGTATAAGAGGCCTTTTTTTTTTTATTCCTTATCATCTACCAAGTATTGATTTTTTTTTCTTATAATTTACCAAGTACTGAATATTAGGAACTTCCAAATGTTTTCATAAACTGCGCAGTATGTACCTGTGTTTTAGCTAGCATAATCAGACACATTTGTCATGGGAAGCGTGTGGTTCATTGTAGTCTCTCTAATGGCCTGGTACACAGACAGACAGATAAGCAGTTGCAGAAAAGCATTTCTCCCCAGAACTGCAGATTTAAGTCTAAGTTATTAGTTGCTGCATAAAAGCAACAGTCAGGTGCAGATATGTAGAGATTAATTTTATTGCTTAAAGGAAACCTATTTCTACTTTCTTATGTTTCAGTCACTGATGAGTCTGTTGAAGGTGGGGAGGATGAGCCTTCTCCTCATGAAGCATACAGTGGACCTTTGAGCTCAGCAAAGGAGGCAGAAGAGGTAGAGGAAGAGGAAGAAAGCAGAGAGGAAGAAGAAAGCAAAGATGATCAGGAGGATCAAGGTAAGAAAGGAAGAAAGAGCAATCAGGGTAGTCTTGAGGTAATGCATGTCAGTCAGCTGAAAACATGGTACTGCTGAGAGGCTCACTGTTACGTTGAAGAGAGCACAGGAAGCTCTGCTTTTCATGCCACTCCTCTAAAGATATCTGCTGGTTCTGAGTAGTTAAATCTATATCTGTTCAACTGTTTGTATAAATAGGTATCACATCGTTGTGCGGCATTGTCTGCACACATATAGTTGACAGCTCACAGAACTGCTGTGAATCTGTAGTTAACAAAATTGAGATTATAAGTGATCGCATTTTTGTGCAAAAATGAGAAAACAGATTTCAGAACATCAGGAATTCTGTTTTTTTTGTTTGTTTGTTTGAGCACACCACTTTTCCCCCTTGAAAGAAACTGCATTCTTACTCTCTAAGTGGAGTTAAGAAACAGACAAAAACTATATTGATGAAATAAATTCCATACATTGTGAGCTGAACAGTTAGCCAGAAGTTGGTGTCTGATTGGTTTCTTCTATTACAGAGTAAAGAGGGTTAGAATTTCGCTGCTCATATTTTCTTCTAGGGAGTTAAGAAATCTGCTTTAATACAAAACAACTAAGAAGTAACATAAAAGGAGATAATCTATGGTTAACCATATTTAGTCAATAAGCATCCACCCAGTTAAAATGTGTAGCTTGCATTTATTAAATGTTAAATGTTTTTGCAAAGCTACATATTTGATGCTGGAAAATATCAGCTAAATTTCTCTGTTTATGATTAGTCCATATCAAAAAACTGAGATCAGAAAGACTACCCTAAATGTTTAGGCAGCTCTTTGCATTCATGTAATTTACTTTTTCTTTGCCCATCACTCTGAAGCTTTCCTGCTTCAGGGCAGACTAGCCAGCTAGCTGATCTAATGTGTTGGAGTAACATCTAACAGCATCCTGCGGCCCAAATCAGATCTGACAGGAATCTAAGAAGGGTTTCTGCAGAGTTCTGCTTTGAATTTGGTAAAAGTTCATTGAGCCTGGTTTCTCTCAGAGTATTTTAGATTCAAATAAACAATTTTGAATGAACTTGATCATAACATGTTTTCTAGGCTATTGCCATAAGACAGTTCAGGAATCCACCCTTTTTTTTTTCTGAAAGAACAAATTGGACAAATCATATGCAGAAGCATACAAATGTGATAGATGTTCTAGAATCTCATTCTAACTCCTTAATTATGTTGAAAAAAATTTAAAGGCAACTCTTTATTTCTAGAATTAATTAGGCAACACATGTTCCTTTTATAGGTCTAGCAAAATCAAGTTATATTACAAGGAAATGATTATAAGAAAAGATGCATTTTCCCATAACCATCACTTCTTTCCCCCCAACAGAATCAAAGGAAGCAGAGGAGCTGGATACAACTGGAGAGGCATAGAGCCAAAAAAAGGAAATATCAAAGTAAATTGTGTGGTGTGATAAACTTGTAGTATCTTTATACTTAAAAGGTTCAGTTAAGGTATTTTGAATAAATTTTTTTGTCACTGTTCCACATGGAATATATATTTCCAGCACACTTATGATCTCAGAGCGTGCTGTCTTGAGACCACTTTCTTGATTCCATGTAGTAAGTTATCAGTTGTTGAATTCAGTATGGGATTATTCTGGATCTACAAAGTGTCAAGTATTCATGACACAATATCCATGACATCCATGGGGCTCTCCCACTCATCCTTCCCACTCAGGGGCTCTCTTGCTCCATCATCCCTTAACTCTCCTTTTCTTACTGTAAGGTTTTATCACCATCCTCCAAGGTACAACCTGAAGTCTCTCCTCATCAGTTTAAAGACCTGTAGGCAATGATGCTCTTAGCTCACTTTGTTAGGTGGGTCCCATCTCTACCTGTTCCTCCAGGAAGGACCCATTATGATAGAAAGCAAACTGCTACATACAGCAGCTGTGCAACAAAATGGGTTGTTACGTCTTAGGACTGGGTCAACTCTTACTTGATTCCTTCCCATGGAGGAGGGAATCAAGGCCATTCCATGGACTCCCATTTCTGTTGCCCCCGCAAGCCCTGTAGGAACTCTTGCTTTGTTGCAGGTTTCCTTTAGCAATATCTTCATGATGAGCAAATAGTAGCAGTTGGAGATCGAGATCATCTTGATCCCTCCACAACACCCAGGATCTTGACCACAAAACCACAAGTGTCCAACAGGATCATGCCTAGTCAGCAGATGGGCTCTCCCCTCAGCAGGAGATGTCAGGCTGCTACTGCTCATTGCTTCTTTTGGGCATAGATGCTCTGGTGGGGTTCAGCTGCTCCTAAGGGCCTCCTTAATTGCACCTGTCCCCTCCCTGCCTGTCAGGACACAGCCTGTGTTCAGGCCTGAGCTTGGAGAAGGAGCCCTTCTCCTGTTGCCAGGAATGCTTCCAGCAACCTTCTTCAGGTTAGCCCCATCCACCACTTCTCCCCACACCACATGGACTGTCATCTTTGCATGGCTCCTGCAGGAGCTTTGCCAACCTCCCCACATGCTCCACCAAGGGGCACAGCCACTCACCTCCCCCTACAGGCTCTTCACCTGGTGACACAGCTGAGGTCATGCACACCTCAGGCAGGGAGGCCACCATCACTCGCAGCTGCAGACATGGGCACCCTGAGCCCCCAGCTCAAGCCTCTCACACACCAGGGTCACGCCGGGATCTCACGAGGTGTTGCAGCCAAGGCCCAGCAATGCATTACCCTGATAGGGCACAATCCCACAGCACCTGAAGCAGAGCTTCTGCCCATCCCCCCTACCCCTTACACTCTGCTATCCCCTCAAGACCTGTCTGCTGCATTCCCACTTTCCAGCTAAGTAGTTGCCCCAGCAACTCCCTAAACAGCAGGCAGTCAACA